TTCCCCGACCGCGCTCAGCGCTGTTAGCTGTGGCGTGGCGCGGGCTGCAGGTGTCTGTGCGCAGCTGGTGCCGCTCGCGGCCCTGAAGGCCTCTGTGCGTTCCGCCCGCAGTGCACTGCGGCAGCATCCGCCAGACGGCCACGATTCTCAGCATGGACAAGGACTGCCTGCGCACGGGGGACAAGGCCACCGTGCACTTCCGCTTCATCAAGACCCCCGAGTACCTGCACATCGACCAGCGGCTGGTCTTCCGCGAGGGCCGCACCAAAGCCGTGGGCACCATCACCAAGGTGAGGGCTGGAGGGTTCGATGTCTTCTGCCCATTAGCTATGTGTGGCACTGGGAGGCCAGCCAGAGAGTCTGGATAACTCTGGAGAATTGAGGGAAGAGGCCGTCCTTTGATGACAAGTGTCAGCCCTGATGTGGGTTGCGGGTGACCAACATGCCTTGTTGTGTGATGACTCTTGGCTGGGGTGAATGAATGAGAAGGTGGGGATGTGCCAGACAGCCTGTGCTTCTTGGGCTTGGGCTCTTTCTGGCAGCTCCTAGCTGGTCCCTTTGAGTTATGGGGTGGAGAGCTGAGCAGCACCTTGGCTAAATGGAGCTTTCAGACCTGGAAGGGTTCTGGAGGGCAGCTCTGGGTCAGCCTAGGTTCCTTTGAGCAGCTGCTGCCTGTGTTCACCCAATGGCTATTGGTATCAATTCTTTTGAGGATTTTTATTGAAAAGCAGCCCTGAACCTTGCTGGAGAGCCCCAGCTGTTTTAATGCTGCTTTTGCATCTCTCTGTAACATGCAGTTACTCCAGACCACCAATAACTCCCCAATGAACTCGAAGCCACAGCAGATAAAGATGCAGTCAACAAAGAAGGGAGCACTTACGAAACGAGAGGATGGTGTCCCCCCCATGGGGACAGCAGTGGGAGGGCCCCCGGCTGGGGACGAGGCCCCGTCCACAGCTGCAGCACCACTGACACCTACTGCCCTGCAACCCCCGGTAAGTGAGGGGGGTGTCATGTCTCCCCTGTCTATCGGCACCCTGTCTTCTGGCTCCTGGGTCCTGCCTTCTCACAGAAGAAATCAGGAACTCTGTGGTGGATGAAGACTGCATGAGTCTTCATCATTTTTAGCAGCTAGTAGCTTAGGATTGTAGGTGATTCAGGTGGGAAGACACACCAACCCCCTGCTCAAAGTAGGGTTAGTGATGAAGTCAGACCAGTTCTCAGGGTTTAGCCAGCAGTATCTTGAAAACCTCCAGGATGGAGACTGCACAACCTCTTTGGGTAACCTGTTCCACTACTTGAATATTCTTGTGGTGAAAGAGCAAACTCTTTATATCAAGTAGCTGCACAGGCAAAGTGTCTAAGAGCCAGTGTCACAGAATGGGACTCTGCTCTCCATGTGAGCAACAGAACATTCCTACCCTAGAGAAACTACAGTCTACACAGTGATATCAGGAACGGGTCATCTGCCTTCTCAAGGAAGTGAGATGGAGACATCCAAGGTGAAGGAAAGGCCTTCCTCTCTGTAGCTCTAAATACTTAGAAATTTGTCTGAGTTGCTTTTCTGCCAGTGAGAAGGATACCCATCCTTTCTTGTCTGAAATGCAAGGAAAACTTGGGTCTAACTGAAAGCTTTGGGCTAATCAGTGTCATTGCCTGGTGTTCTTTTAGTAGAAAGATTCAGAAACCGATTCTGTCAAGCGACTTGATTTCTTTGTCAGTGTTCTTCCCCTTAATGTTGTCTTCTGTTGCCGTCTTTCAAATTGCACCTCCTTGAGCCAGGCTAGCTGCTGGAAGAGGGCCCTGCAACAGGGCTTCTCTCCCTTTGCATGTGCCTGGGGTTTCTTTCTGATCCACCAGCTCCTCCTTGTCTTTGTAGCATCGCTGTGGTCGTAAGTAACGCTCCGAGCTTGCTCTTTGTTTTAAACTTTCCTCTGAGAGTGTGTTGCTTTTGCTCTTGCTCATTTCTGTCTCTCTCTCCTTGCCGCTTCCCCTCAGCCTGCACTGGATGAAGAGCCCCACACGCGTGAGGGCAACAAGGTATTTCAGCTGCTTCAGAAATGAATGGAGGGTTTGATAACCTGAATCTGGGAACAGAGTTGTGTTAGCAAGAGTCCTGGATGGGGGGGTTCTGCTTCCATTCCTTACAAAGCTGAGGGAATCTGAGGCCTTGATTTCCCAGATGCTGAGCCTTGCAGCTCCCACTGGCTCTCATGGGAATTAAGGATTCAGAGCATTGGGAAAGTGGGTCCAGCTTAAGGACTGGACTTCACAGTGGGTCTGTCTGTTTGTCTTCCTGCAGGGGTAGGAAACTAATCGGTCAAAAGTGTCCTCACAGTTTCTGTATGTGCATTACAGTCTGTTTTGAACCCCGCTGTGTTGATACTCTCATTCAGTGCTCACTGCACACTGAAACTTCTCTTCTTGTTTTTCAGTCAAAAGTTGGAGGAGGAGGCCGGCGACGCGGGGGTCAGCGCCATAAAGTGAAGTCTCAGGGAGCCTGTGTGACTCCTGCCAGTGGCTGGGGGACCCCCCCCCCCTCCGCGG